TCGGCTCGTCAAACGCTATCTGACCTGTCCGAATAAATTTATGCCAAGTTGTCAAATGATACTCTACGATATTCATTTACTCCACGCCGTCGTTTGCCGGCTGTGAGTTAGAAGGATCAGGTTTCTAAGGCGTCCTCATCTTTAGGAGAGGGGGATGGGGAGGCTGAGTAAGAGAAAAAGGGGGAACCACCTTACGAAACTCGTCTCGTGAGAAATTCGGAGTAAACCCCTGTTTGGTACCCCTGTCCCTTTATTCGCGAAATGATCGTGTTTGAGGTGCGCGCCTAAGAACAAACTTTAGTCATTGACCACGTGTTTCCGCGCGAAGCAGTGTGCCGCGTGCCCGCGATTCCGAGTGTCCGTGTGCGTCTCGTCGTCGTAGCGTTAATTGAAAAATCGATCGTACAACGCGCGCATCTTATTTGTCCGGCGATCGTCGTCAGGTCTATCGATAGTTCAGCGATCAGCTTTACGTGTTCCGCGCTCGGGAAAGATGTCGTATACGTGCAAGCGCTTCAAGAGAACGCCGATTCATGTGGTGGAGGGCCACGATGAGGTGGGTACATTCGAACATCGGTCTCGCGTTCGTTATACCGGGGATGACGCGACGTATCGTTGCATGCGTCGCGCCGCTAGATGTCGCGACGCTGATATTTTTTACAAGTTTTAAGAATACGAAAATATGTCATGTTTTTAAGGGAAAAGTACAAGACAAAGCTGTACGACGCAAGAAACTTTTTACATGTTATTTTTCACCTCTGACGTCATAATTCAATATGGTTGCAATATGCTTTCATATGGCATAAGGCTCGGTTGTCTCTCTGCAGCCATATTGAATTATGACGTCAGAGGCGAGAAATAACATGTAAAAAGTTTCTTGCATCGTATAGCTTTGTCTTGTACTTTTAAAACTTGTAAAAAATACGAGAAACTAAGATATCTGTCTAATAAATCACGTAAAAGTGTAAAATAAATCTTGAAATAATGGTACACTGCTTAGTTATCAGAAATTACCAGATCACTAGATCTGGTGTTTCTGATAGCTGAGCAGTGACCATTATTTCAAGAATTATTTTACACTTTTACGTGATTACAAGTTTTAAGAATACGAAAATATCATATTTTTAAGGGTAAAAGTACAAGATAAAGCTATATGACGCAAGAAACTTTTTATATGTCATTTCTCGCCTCTGACATCACACAACCCATATCGCGCCGCGAGAAAATCTTAAGGTCTACGCATAATAAGTAACAGGAATAGAAAATAACATAAGCAACAGATTTCAATTTATCGGAAATCAATTAATAGGCTGATGTATCAATTAATACACGGTTTTTGATAGGTTGAAATCTATCGCCTATGTTATTTCTCTGTTCTATATTCTTATATATTCTTATCTATCGTACACAGACCTTATAATATTTAATATTTAATATTTATTCCTATTTCTAATATTTCTTTCTGCTCAGATATATGAGCCGAAATAAGGAATTAAATAGCCTAGCATTACATATATGATATTATGAGCATGGTGATTTAATTTCAAATTCTAATTAATCAATTTTAAAACTTAAATTTTAACGCCAGCCTACATATCAACCGAATCTGTAAACCTTGCGTGTGACATGCGTGTATGAACATGAGATTCAATTTTTTGAATGAATATTTGGTAATACGTCATATTTACGATATCTTTAGGCCTTACCGGTCATTTATCGGTGTCTGGGGTCAAAGCATCTGCCTTTCGAAGGTAACACCTTGGTACATCTGGATTCGCATCCCGATATGTTGATACCCATGGATATGTCCGCTGATACAGTGTGGGACAAGAATAACCTGTTTACGTATGTATAGTTAATATTGTGAATCTCATATGATGATATTGTCTATTATTAAAACATATTGAATATAATTTTTTGACACGCGAAGAGACTTGAAGCAGAATTCTTGCGAACATATGATGATAATCGGAATTTATGGCTGTTTATCAAGACGTTTATCGGCTCAATTTTGACGAGTTCATATTTGACGAGTTCATTTTTGTACCAATGTGAACGTTTCTGTTTTTTACAAATAAAAATATTATTATAATTGAATTTATCGGATTCAATGTATCTTTTACAATATGATCAAATTAATTAATATGATCAATTAATTTTATAGTGCAAACATAGTGACATAGTGATTGAGTAAATATAATAATATAAAATTATAATATAATAATAATTTTAAAATAAAAAAATATATATATAACTTACTTATATAACGTACTGAAGCATGAGTTTATTAATGTATCTAAAAATTTGATCAGATATAAATTTGAAAATAATTTTATTAGACTATCAAATTTTTTAGGATGCTTAAATATGATGACAGTAATGAACAAATTTTTAATATTTTAGCAATCGATATTTTGCACATCCTATATTATTATATGACCTAATAAAATTATTTTCGGTCAAATTTTTAGATACTTTAGTAAAACTGTTTTTTTTGAGTAAATATGAAAGTATAAAGTATAAAGAAATACGAGATGAAAAGATTCTTTCGTAATGTTACATTTTATGCACAAATATTTTATATTTTATGTGTAAATTTAAAAATAACAATTTATTGTAAAAGTTAAAGAAGCATTTTCTTTTCATTTATTGACATCAGAGAAATTGTGTAAGAATGGAGAAATTTCTTATTTTATATCTTATTTTATGTTTTATAGATATTTTTATATTGAATTTTTGAATTTATTGAAATTAGGTCTGCGACCATCTTTTTAATTTATTTTATTTTACTGCGAGTAATTGCGTGTTGTCTTTGTTATTTCTATCTTTCTTTCTTTTTTATTTCTTGTTTTTCTCTATCATTTTTCGTTAAGTTTGTTTCTTCTATGTTGTATACATATCGCAATTGTTATTACGATCGTTATAATGTTTGAGTTCAATAAAGAAATTTATTAAATGAATTTGTTTGTAACAATCTTCAAACTTTCGTACAATTAATTATGCCTTTTTGTTCTCTATAGAGAAAAAGTACATAGCTTTTCAATCTGTAAACAAATTTTGCAAGCAAATTTTTGAGCGATTTTGTTTTTTTGTATTTTTTTTTTAGCACGATCAGCATCGAGAATTGGATTATGCCTGCAGTGTATGCTGGTCATCTTAAGAACTTGATCTGGGTGAAACCACCATGGGCTAATCAGATAACCGACAGTGTCTTGACGTTTCTCATCGGTAAGCACAAGGAGTCCGGCTTGATAAGGTAATCAATATAATTTCTTGATTTATAAATCATTCATTTGAAATATCTTTCTTGATTTATAAATCATTCATTTGAATTATAAATAAATACTTTAACTTTCTCGATTTTATCGTGATTTTTTTCTTTGTTTAATGCTCAAGATATTTTAAAATTATTGCAACTCATGTTTTGATATTTATTATTTTATATTTGTTTTTCATAAATTCAATAATATCGAAAATAGCGCGAATTAAATTTGAATGATTCCGAATAGAGATTTCTGTTTATATCAATATCGAATTTTTAACTTTAATATAATTAAATCTGTCTTAACATTGAATGATTTTGACATAGTATAATACAGATACGATATAAAATATAAATAAAAATAATATATTACAAAAGTATATTCGAGTATTAGATATGTGCGTCAGTAGTTTTGCGAATTGTATAATAAAAGAATATCGAGTATTGTATTTATATTGTTATTTTACACTTTTTCAAATATACACATTTCTCATTTTTTTATTCAGTTGATTATAAATAATATTTCTCGGCAAAATAGATATTAGAGATTTAATTAACAATTTATTGTTAATTAAATCTCTAATATCTATTTTGCGGAGAATTTACATTATTGTACGGTGAAGAAGTTGAACATTATAATGTCCAGTTATTGTGACACTTGCTGCGGTGATACAACCTCGTAAAGGTCATTTCATACGATTGAAAAATAGTAACATTCGCGCGGCAGAGAAAAATCACACATTCTCGATAAAAGAGGACATAAATAACCGTAGGATTGAAAAATCGAGAGAACAAACAGGCAGAAAGGAAAAAAAAGCAATTAAAGTAGCAAAAGAGAAGTCGACATGTTATGGCGATATATGCTGTGAAACTCAGCGTGATTCAGCAATCCGTCAAGACTTGAGTTATGTTTCTCAAATTATTGTATGGGAATATATGTCCATGCAACATGAGTGAAGCACGATGATGTCATGAGAGCTTCCCATACCTATATCTTTATTAAATTTATTTATATCATAATTTT